TACGAGCAGCTTTCTCTACCCACACCATCCCTACACCATGGAAGTGTATTGATTGGTTGACTGATTGATTTTTGCATGTGTGGAGGTCAGAGGACAGCCTGTGGGACCTAGCTGTCTTCTGTCTGTCATGTAGTCCCTGGGATTCCAACTCTAGTCATCAGGCTTTCTTGGAAGTGCCTTTACCTTCTGATTCATATCATTGACTTATTTTTTTTTAACTACAATAAGTGGACACCAGGTAAAGAGTGACACCAGCATCATGTTACCAACCATGTGGCAGTTTAGCTCATGGCATGCCACAGTGACTCAGTCAGCTCCCAAGTTATTAAACGGCACCAAACAAACAATATAGCACATACGTTTTTTGCTCTTGGAGTTGATTATTTTCTGGGATGTAAGTTCCTAGAATTGGAATTGCTGGGTGCAGGAGTTTGTGTGGTCATGGTTTTAAAAGGCAGGAAAGTTGCTGAGAAGGAGCTGACAGCCGAATTTAACCATGTTTATGTAATATATACGGGGTTATTTATTTTTGCTATGTTTATTTAAAGAATTTATCTTGTTTTTCAGGTTGGAGAGATGGATCAGTCATTAAAGAACAGTCTCACAAGTAAAATATCACAATATTTTGTTTTTAATTATGTGTGTGTGTGTGTGTGCGTGCGTGCGTGCGTGCGTGCGTGCGTGCGTGCGTGCGTGCGTGCGTGCGTGCGTGCGTGCGTGCGTGCGTGCGTGCGTGCGTGCGTGCGTGCGTGCGTGCGTGCGTGCGTGCGTGCGTGCGTGTGTGTGTGTGTGTGTGTGTCTGTGTGTGTGTGTCTGTGTCTGTGTGTCTGTGTCTGTGTGTCTGTGTTTCTGTGAATGTGAGTGAAGATGCCTAAAGAGACCAGAAAAGGGCACTGGAGCCCACAGAGCTAGAGTTACAAGCAGTTGTAAGCTGCCCGGTGTGGATACTGGGATCCTAAGTCAATTCCTCTAAAAGAGCAGTTCAGCCTCTCAGTGGATGAGTCGTGGCTCCAGACCCTATATGCAGACTGTTTACACTTTTTATTATGGGTCTATATTTTATGTTGAGTATATCCACTTGCATCTATGGGAGTTTTAAAAGGTTTATTTCATTCTCTTTGAACAGAATCAGAAGACAAAGTGCCATCCCACTTTTGGCATGTAACAGTGGATTCTGAAGGTAAAAATCATCAGTCAATGTGTTCTTGTTATATGCCTGGTGTGATTAGGCTCTGTGGTGGCTGGGGAAGGGGGGCGGGAGTTAGGGAGAAAGCAACATGCCAGTATAAGAAAGGAAAGGACTTGTGGGTGTTGCTGAGAAGGTTTGATTAGTCTGAGTATGTCAGCTTATCACGGTTAGCTGTTAACCCAGTTACTGTCGTGTAACATGAATAATAAAAACCCAGAGACACATATTGGGGTTAAAGCTGAAGAACAGAAAAGCAAAGTGGCCAAACACTAGCTCTTACCTCTACCTCAGACTGAAAGGGGCCATCCTGTCTTCACGAATCCTCAGGCTGCTATGCTCTTCACCAAACCTGACTGCTCCTGTCTTATATTCCTCCCTAGTACTGGGATTAAAGGCTCACCATCCCAAGTGGTGGGATCAAAGGTGTGAGCTCTGTTTCTCTTTTATACTGATTCACTCTCATGTAGCCGAGGGTGGCCTTGAACTCACAGAGATCCATCTGCCTCTGTCTCCTGAGATTAAAGGTGTGGCCACCACTGCCTGTCCTCTATGGCTAACTAGTGGCCTAGTGTGTGGTTAACTAGTGGTTTAGCTCTGCACTCTGATCTTCAGGCAAGCTTTATTTGTTAGATCGTAAACAAAACATCACCACACTGTCATGAAGAATGGGAGATCCTGAACTCTGTGGGAATCTTCCTTCTTTCCTCTGCCATCTTCTCCCCTCAGCCTCCCATGTCATGACAGACAGGGAGTTCCAGTGCCGTGACAGAAGGAATCACTTGGTTTTTACCTCCAAGTTTGACAAAGATTTAACACCTGGCACAGATCCTGGGCACTCTCTAGGCATGCTCCTCACTGGAACTGATTAGAATTGCCAAGCTTGACTACAGTGACAAAAATAGAAACCATCAGCTTCAATGTGATTCTATTCCCTCAGAGAGGGAGAAGAGAGAAGGAAAGGAGAGACAGGCAGGGAGGAAAGGTGAGGGAGGAGGGGGCTGGAGAGATGGCTCAGCAGTTAAGAGCACTGGCTGCTCCTCCAGAAGTTCTGAGTGGGACCAGGATTTATCCCTGGTGCATGAATTGACTTTTTGGAACCCATTCCCTATGATGAGATACCTTGTTCAGCCTTGATGCAGAGGGGAGGGACTTGGTCCTACCTCAACTTGATATGCCAGGCTTAGTTGACTCCCCATGGGAGTCCTTACCTTCTCTGAGGAGTAAATGGGGGGTGGGGGAGAGGGAAGTGCAGGAGGAGGAAGGGACGGGGGGGGGGGGGGACTGTGGTTGGTATGCAAAATGAATTTTAAAAAAACAGGAAAAAAGGGAAGGAGCGTGGGTGCTTCTGGGAAATGTCCCATCAGCAATCCATTTTGAAATTCTGTTGGCTCTCCCTTCAAAATATGCCCAGAGCCCAACCAGTTGTCCCCAGCTCTGCTTACCCTGTCATGAACCATTTGGTGGTTTCAACTGTAATTCTCCTACTCCTAGTTACTTCTCATTCACATGCAAATTGAATTGAAACCACATCAGCAAATTCCACTAGCAACCTATCTTATTGAGCCAAGGCATGCAAGACACTAACTGACCTGCCCCCTATCTCCCGATGCACCCCCTCCCCGGCCATGGCCTCCTCTCTTCCTACCTCAGGACCTTTGCACTGACTGGTACCACAGAACTGTGCTTCCTCAGACCTGCCACTTGATCAGCGGATCCATCCCTCCACTCAAAGTTGCTCACCCTGAACCCTATCACTTGTATTATATAATCACTTACTTGTTGTGATTATCTGTTACTCCTCCCTCACATCTATCACTTCAATTAAGTGTAAGGGTAGAGTCTTTGTTTTGCTCACTAATGTGTATTGCCTGGTGCATCGAAGAGGCCCTTCGTGGGTATTTGTTGAATGAATGAATTAGAACCAGGCAAACAGACAGGGGCAATAGAGAGGCTAGTAGTTCCCAAATATATGTACATTATATTCCTTGGAGCCAGTAAATATGTCACTTTACTTGATTAAAAAAAAAAAAGTAGACTTTTAAAATGTGTCTAAGGAGCTTGACGTGGAAAGAATATTCTGGATTATTGAATGGGCCTGGGATCACCCAAAAGTCTGCTCAAGAGGGAAGCAGGTGTATCTTAGACAGGGAATGCGGTTTGATGGTGGAAACTGAGGATGAATGAAGGGGCTATAAGCCAGGGCATGCAGGCATGCTCTAGCAGCAGAAGAAATAAACGGTTTCTACCTAGAGCCCTCTGAGATACATAAAACCCCTTTTAGCTCATTGCTAGGAGACTCATTTTGGACTCCCCATCTTTAGAATTTCCAGCCAGCCAAGGAGGTTTGCAGTGCTGTCAGGGCCTCCACATGACACAAATAGCCAAGCACTGAAAGAGTGCTTGTTAACTTCAATGTGGATCTTCAGAGCAGCTTGGAGGAAAATACATCTGAGCTTGGGTGCAGCTAATGACTCAGATGCCCAAGTGACAAGCTGTAGATCTTAGGCCCAAGGTTCACATTGCTCTATAGCTTGCAGAAGGACTGGGCAGGAGGCTAAGGGTGGATTCTAGTATACATTGTGGGTGTAAGGTGCTATTCAGGGTGCACTATTAATTTTGCCACCAAAGATCAGTCTACCCAGAACCTGAAAATAGGAACATATTTTCAAAAGGAAAAGAAAAAGAAATGAGAGAAAGGATCATGGATTTATGTTCCATCTCCAATACCATTTGTAGTGGTGCACTCCTTTAATCCTGTGCTTGGGAGGCAGAGGCAGGCGGATCTCTAAGAGTTTGAGACTAGCCTGGTCTACACAGTGAGTTCCAGGACAGCCAAAGGCTACACAGTGAGACTGTCTCAAAAATCAAAACAATCCCCCCAACTAAGTGCAACTAGTGTCCTTATAGGAGATGAGAGGAGAGGACAGTGGGTGGGTGGGCTGTATCTAGCCTGCCAATTACTTCCCTCCGAGGATATCAGTGGCCCCATTGGATATCTTGGATCCATCTTTGCCTGTTATAAGGGACATAGGATGGGCTCAGGCAAGGTCATGTTCTTAGATCCCAAATCCAGCACCAGTGGGAAGGCACTTTACAATGAGAAAGGGGCTCATGTGACTATGGAGAGCACTGCAAGCCCAAGACTCAGAAAAGCTGGTGGTAGGGCCCAATCCAGTGTGAAGGTTGAAGCTTAGGCAGACTGACAGCATCAGTCCCAATCTGTTAAGTGTGTATGGAGATAAGAGGTTAAATGATCCAGCTCAAACAACAATGCACCGTGTGTGGGGGGGGCAGGTGGGGGTTGGATATTTCTCTCTCCTCTGCCGTTGTCCTGCTTAGACCTCTGTGGATTGGTGAATGTCCATGCCTCTGTGGATTGGTGGAAGGGGCAGTCATCTTTACTGATTCTACCAGTTGTAATGCTAAAGTCACCTGGGAAACCCCTCACAAATACACTCAAAATAACATCTAATCCTGGCAAAGCATAGCCCAATCACATTAACGCATGAAATTAACCACCAGGACGTCACAGCCCTGTGCCACTCTTTCTCTTCTGAGCCCTAGCCCATTGGCCTTGCTTTCCCACATCCCTGCTCTCCTCAGGCCCAGCCTCTGCCACCTATCTGTCTCTCTGTGTATTAGGAGGTCTACAATATCACCTGCTTTCTTGACATCTTTGAGTCCCACAGGGCCCCAGGGAATCAACCACAACTTCCCCTGCTTTTACCAAATGTGGCCCTCCCTGGTTGACACCCCTTCTCATGGACCAGCCATGTTGTACTCAGCCTTCAATGTATTGTATGGTAACGCTATGCTCAACTTTCTAAGGAGCTGGAAGATGTGTCCCAAAGTGGCCACACCATATTACATCCCTGATGGCGGCTGGTGGGCCCAGTGTCATCTCCGCATCTCCAAGAGTGGTCTCATTGTTCTACTAAAGACTCCTTAGCTATCTATGGTTCAGGTCTCCTAGGGCACTGAGCCCTAACTTGTGCCATAGATGATGGGCTCTTACCCAGGAGACCCAGGATCTATATTTCCATTTTTAACTGAAGGGTAAGATGCTCAGAGGACTGCATCCCATTTCTCTACTCCAGCGGGGGGAAGACTTACTATACCTAGTTCCTTATTAGATGAACTAACAGCTCCTTCCCTCCCTCCCTCACTCCGTTCTTTCTTTTCTTTCTCTCCATTCAGAAAGAACAAAGGATGATGCAATCAAAAAGGAAGGACCGTACAAGATCTTTTTCAAAGATCTCTTCCTTTTCAAGGAAAATGAAATGGCTGCAAAGGAAAAGGTAATGGTTTGTTTTGTTTGTTTGTTTGTTTCTAAGATCAAAGTCCCAAAAAGGTTAGAATCATGTGCTTTTAGCCATAGTTCTTACCAGTCTTTATGGGTTAAGACATATGGTGTTGGGGCCCGGCAGGGTGACACATGTCGTTAATCATAGCACCCAGGAGGCAGAGGCAGAAGGATGTCTGTGAGTTCAAAGCCAGATTGCTCTACAAAGTGAGTTATGAGACAGCCAGGACTGTTACACCGAGAAAGCTTGTCATAAAAGGCAAAAATAAACAAGAAAGCCGGGCAGTGATGGCACATGCCTTTAATCCCAACACTCGGAGGCAGGGCAGGTAGGTGGATTTCAGTGGGTTCGAGGCCAGCCTGGTTTACAAAGTGAGTTCCAGGACAGCCAGGACAGTTACACAGAGAAACCCTGTCTCAGAAAAAAAAAAAAAGACATGATGTGTGATATGTGGGATACTGATATACCTGGCCTGTGGCTGTCTGCACCATTCTGGGAAGACTGTGCATACAGACGACAGGGGTAAGCAGGGACCTTCAGAGATCGCCACCTAGTGGAGGAAGGCAGCTACGCCATCACCAGCCAGTGAGACAGGTATGGTCCGCCCTACTTCACATTATCTGACACCTACAGTTTTCATATTGCTACATTTCTGAAATTGGGACTAGCTCACACAGGTGGTGTGTCATGAATCATTAGTCAAGTACAAAAGAAAAACGCATTTCCCCACAGGTAACACCTTAGAACTGACAGACAGGTCATAGACTCAGAGACGTGTAAAGGAGACAGAGAATCCACCCTGTTGATGGGAACAGAAACAATGAACGGAGGGAGAGATAGAGAATTCACTGTGGTGACAGAAGTTGAGTCCTTAAGAACAATCCCAGAGCTGTCAAAGCTGATATGGATAAACAAGTCTGTATGTGCTTTGGGAAGAGTGGAAAAGAGAAAAGGGGTGGAGAGGCGAGGAGGGTTACTTTTAGAGTAATTTGGAATAAAGTTAGATTAGCAATGAGCCTGAAATTCAGTTTTTCTTCCCAAAGGTACCTGATTAAAGGACTCTCCTAGCCCTAGTATAATGAATAATATATCTGGAAAGACTGCAGTATATCCATCTGGAGGGTATTTTTCTTCCAGGTGTTGGTGAGCCTTTGTTGAACATAATAGAATATTAAATTGAGAGAAATGAAAAGAAATCCAAAGCGTGGGGTTTCACTACCTTCTGTGGAGGTCCATCTTATCTTAAGTTTTCAGTCCCAGCAAGCCAGCCTTTGGAATTTTCCCAGAAAGACATTTCCCTGTCTCTGGGGTAGTTTACTAAAGGCTCAAACTTTGAAGTGTGTTCTTCCTTTCTCCATATAACAAAGAAAGGGATGCTGTGCACATCCCTTTCAGGTTGCACTCCCAAGCTGCCTAAAGCCAAAGGTCTTTGTTGTTTACACATGACCACTATTATAACAATATGCTGCTCTGGTGTATACAAACTCCTTTCGTGCTTTTGTACCTCGTGCAGGAAAGAATCATGAACCGCAGCATGAAAATCTACCAAAAGACTACATTTTCATCTCGCATGAAGAGTCGCTCGCACCTCAGCCAGCTGGCTTTTTTTGCTGACGTAGGTGGCGGCTCCCTCGAAAGTCTGGGACTAGATCCCACTCTTATTCTCAGACTGACAGAAGGTGAGTCAACGTTACTCTTAGTTTTAAATTTTTGTTTTTGATATTTGCTATTCATCATAGGTTTGGAGAGATTTTCTGGTGGTGAGAGAGACAGAATCTATGCTGCTTATGCTGTTTTGAGATAAAAATGGCCAGAGACCACAATGCAGATACTCTTTTGGAGGGTAGGGTTGAGACGGGATTCCTCTGTGTAGCCCTGGATATCCTGAAACTCACTCAATAGATCGGGATGGCCTGGAACTCAGAGATCCATCTATCTCTTTTGGGATTAAAGGTATATGCCACCTCTGACCAGCTAACACAGACATTATTTTTTAAGATTTATTTATTGGGGCTGTAGAGATGGCTCAGCGGTTAAGAGCACTGACCCTTCTTCTAAGGGGTCCTGAGTTCAATTCCCAGCAACCACATAATGGCTCACAACCACCTTGAATGAGATCTAGTGCCCTCTGCTGGCGTGCAGGCAGAAGACATAATAAATAAATAAAATCTTAAAAAAAAGAATGACTTAACTTTTAAAAAAAATTATTTATTGTGTATACAGTGTTCTGCCTACATGTATGGTTATAGGCCAGAAGAAGGCACAAGATCTCATTAGAGATGGTTGTGAGCCACGATGTGGCTGCTGGGAATTGAACTTAGAACCTTTGGAAGAGCAGGCAGTGCTCTTAACTGCTGAGCCATCTCCCCAGCCCCAACACAGACATTCTTAAAGCCAAAAAGAAAGTCTTTATTGCTGCCCAGCAGGTGCATGGGGAACTTGCCCAAATCATGCAGCCCCTAGGCTCACAGTCCTTTGTCTTTTCTATACCAAACCCATGACATGCTGGTTGTCACATTCCAGCTAGCAAGAAGCAGGACTACAGAAGCCAAAAAGCAAGGTTAGTACATTTAGGGACTTCTTATTTGAGGACTTTTCTAGAACTATGGACTAGGTCTTTGTTCCCATTTTGCCAGGGGTTGGGGCCTGTGTGCTGGGTTTTCCAATCAGAATGGTACCTCTAACATGGTGTTCTCAACTCCGGTAGAGAAAGCAAGCCATGAGGCTGGAGAGATGGCTTAGCAATCAAGAGCACTTATGACTATTGTGGAGGACTGGAGTTCAGTTCCCAGCAACCACATAGTGTCTCTCCAGTTTGAATGGATGGAATTCCCTCTTCTGACCCTCTCTTGAACCAGGCAAGCATGTAGTGCATTTACATGAATTCAGGCAAAATATTCATACACATACAAACAAATAAATCTTTTTTAAAGATTTTATTTATTTATTATGTATACAACATTTTGCTTCCAAGTATATCTGCACACCAGAAGAGGACACCAGATCTCATAACGGATGGTTTTGAGCTACCGTGTGGGTGCTGGGAATTGAACTCAGAACCTCTGGAAGAGCAGTCAGTGCTCTTAACCTCTGAGCCATCTCTCCAGCCCCAAATAAATAAATCTTAAGAAAAAGAAGGGCTGTCTAGATGGCTCAGCAGGTAAGAGCACTTGCTGCTCTTTCAGAGGACCCAGAGTCTGTTCTTAGCCCCGCATGCATGGAGGCTCACAACTGTCTGTAATTCCAGTTCCAGGGGATCAGGCACCCTCTTCTGGCTGCTTCGGGAATCTGTAAAGTATGTTGTGCACAGACCTACATGCAGGGGGAGAAACACTTTACACATAAAATAAAAACAAATCTTTTAAAAACACTTAGGTTTGCCTGGCGTTGGTGGCACATGCCTTTAATCCCAGCACTCAGGAGGCTGGCGGATCTCTGTGAGTTTGAGGCCAGCCTGGTCTAGCAAGTGAATTCCAGGACAGGCTCCAAAACAATACAGAGAAACCCTGTCTCGAAAAACCAGAAAAAAAAATAGGTTTGATTATTTTAATAGTGTGTGTGTGTGTGTGTGTGTGTGTGTGTTATCTGTATGTATGTAAGAGTGTGTCAAATCCCCTGGGGCTGCGGTTAACAATTGTAAGGGTGTTGGGAATTGAGCCTGGATCCCCAGCAAAAGCAGCAAATGCTCTTAATTCCTTAGCCAACAACTTTCCAGGCCCCAACTATATCTTTAAATAAGAAGAAGCAAACCACATTAATTGATTTAGGCCATCTTGGAGATGCATATGTACCCGAAAAACAGGTAATGGCAGGCAATAGTGAGGGTGTGGCTATACCACCAGATCTTGGAGATACCTAGGTTCCATCTTGTGCCTCCATGTTGAGTCTTGGGCCATCAAGAACATTTAAAGTGATAAGTGATACCTCAACATGTCACAGAATGTGCAAACAAGCTGACTGCAACAATCCTTGTGTCTTAGGGTTTTTATTGCTGTGAAGAGACACCATGACCTGGGCAACTCTTATAAAGAAAACATTTAATTGTAGGGGAAAAGGAGCGATATCAAGAGGCAATACAGATAAAATATCAATAATGTTGAAGCAACTGAACTTAGGGCTGCACTGTTATGAGTGTCAGTGATTTCAAGATGGTGCAATTTTTAAAGTATTAAAAAGGATAGCTGTCTCTAAGTGACAGTTTCTCGGGCATGCTATATTTGATCTGCAACAAAATGCTGCTAGATTTTTTTGCCTCCTCTTTGCAAATAGAAATGGCTCAATGAGGTTGAGTCGTGCCAAATATCTAAGCAAATGCAGAATTCAAGTCAAAGCCTGCCTGACTCCTTTGGTTACCTCCCCATGAACATTTGTTAACGATTATATAAATTTTTGCTGCTTTTATGACTGATCACAAAATGAAATGATTCATTCCAAGTGTATTGTTTGAATAATAGCAGCTAGTAGTTATTGAGAAACTCCTGTGTGTTTTATATGCTATGGCCTCATTTCCTTTTCCCAACACCATTGTGCAATAGAGGGATATTCCTACTTGGGCTACCTTATACTTTCACAATAAGCCACATTGAAATTTCAGTGGCTTCCAATCCCAGAGGTTTAATTCTCAGTTGTTTCCCCTTTGAGCCTCTGCTGAAGGAACAGGCCCAGTCTAGGACATCACAGGGGCTGCAGCTAAGGGCTCTTGAAGCTTCTTCTTGGAAGCCACATAGCACCATGCCTGTTTGTTTCATGACCAGATCATGGTGATGGCCATGAGCTGAGGGTAGAACAGTCTTCAACCAGATGAGGAAACAGGCACAGAAAGGGAACGGGCTTACTCATCTTTCCCAGCTAGTTAGAAGTGGAAACCAATGCATCTTTGGGGAGACATAGCCTACCAGTGCAGCTCAGGCCCACTGCTTGTTTAGGAAGTATTTCCTATTTACATGGTTAGAGAGAGATTTTATTCTATACTACATTCTGTTGATTTCACACAAAGCTAATGTGGAAATGTAGCATTTTCCAAAATGAAGAAAATTTGAGTGTTCTTGGAATTCCTATTCAGTTTTCTCAAAGTTAAAACTGGTTATCATCTTTTTCACTTTGGTTGCAATTTCGTCTTGTGGTCTCTAAAGACGTGTGGCCTGAGGACATTAAGATCCGGGTCAGTCTACAAACTCAAACAGAACTCTATATCACATTTGGTCCCCTTAAAGGCTCAGGGACCATTGCAGAAAAATGGAACAAAAACACTGTAAGAGCCTGAGGTCAGAGAGGACCAAAACCAGTGTCTCCTAGATATGTGAGGGTCACCACACCCATGAACACACAACAGCTGTGGCTGCCTCCACAAGACCTACATAATATCAAACCTGCCAACCTTCTAGCATGGAGCTGGGAAGGTCTCCTAACTGAGAAGCTATCCACAGTTGGTAATTTCTTAGGGAGGGTGGGGTGCTCAGACACCCCTTGGGGGTGTGGGTGAGAAGACGCGGCACCAACTACGAAGACACCAGTAGTCGACTCATTTATTACAGAAGTTACCTGCCTTTATACCCCCTTCCAAGGTCCCATTGGCTCAGGCGGCTGACTCTGCAGCCTTGTCCCTTCCTCATTGGTGTCTCTGGTCAGGTGTCTCTCGGTCAGCAGTCTCTGGGTCTGGCGGCAGGCTTGGCTCAGGGAGAAGTTCCTGCCACACATGCTCATGTGGGCTGGCTTGGGCAGGACTACTACAGCTAGGGTAGGTTGACCAACAGTTTCTCCTACAGGTGGGTTTTCTGTAAGCCTTCCTAGATCACAGGAGGGCACACACCCATGAGTATGTGGGCAGCACAAATTGGACTCAATGAGTTTTTTTTTTTTTTTTAAGTTTTTTCAAGAGGACACAAGGTTGGGATGGGTGGAGAGGTAGGGGTGGATCTGGGAGAATTGAGAGGGGACGTGTGAAGGTCACCAGGATCAAAATACAATGGTTGTATATGGAATTCTTAAAGAATTCGTAAAAGTCCCATATTTTAAAAACTCTTGAGAGCAGTGGCTCAGGGGGCTCTGCCCATCTCTGTCACTTCTTGGGCAAGAATTTTGGCACACAAACAGGATAATAATAAATTATTCATGATCAAAAAACATATTTAAATTTAACATATTTAAAATAATTAAGAAGCTTCCTGATCTATTCAAAGACACAAAATAAGTGGTAGCTACTTTTGGGGCAGCTTGAGTGCCAGGGAAAAGTCATTAGAAAGCAATGCTCTTTTGCTTAGTCTACATACACAGTGTGTATGATAACTTGACCAGCTCTTGTTCCATGCAGCACCTTTCAAAGCTAGCAAACTAAACCTACGTTTGTTTTAATGTTCTCTCCAGGTGCTGACAGAAAGAGGACTGTGCACGAGTTTATTAATGACGAGAGAGACAGATTTCTACTTGAGGTATTAAACATAACTTCTTTCTCCCATTAGCCGGGACACTTCCTGCATAGTATTGTCAGATACTTAGCCCGATGTTATGTTTTTCCATGGCATGCTCCAAATCTATTACTGGACAGAGTGGCTCATTCCTGTGTTCATTTACTTGAAAAATATTTATTGAGTACTAATCATGTGCCAAGCCATTACAAAAGTCCCTCCCTTTGGAAAATTTACATTCAAGTAATCTATACCAGTAACCCAGGAAGTGGTCTGTATTTCTAGAGGACATTGAGCCCCATCATCTCTTTTTCCCCTCAATCTGAGAATAGCCTCAATAGCCCTTGAGAAGCCTAATTTGATTTAGATTTTCCTGACATTCTGGTTGACTCTGGTGGGATCTTCCAGCTTTCTCTAAGCCCACTCATACCAGAGAGAAATGGCTTGCTACAAAGAAAGGAAATATTAAGATCAGCCAGAAGAGCTACCTGAGGCAGGGTTTAGAAGCACTGCCTGGTCCACCTTTGGTACCAACTGCATCTGTAACAACAAGCACACAGCATAGGCAACCATGGAAGACCTTGAAGTATCTTATAAACTAACAGAGGGGTTTTAGCATATCATCAGTAACCTTGAACTAGAACCCAGGCCGTATAACACATATTATTTACTACTCTTTTATACATGCTAATTTACCATGGATAGAGCAGACACTGTACACACAACAGTGGAAGAATAATTACAAAAGAAATCAGCTGGCGATCTTTCCTAGCCATCTGCCATGGTGGGTGGATGGAAGGCCGGAGCTAACATGGGGTTAGCTGGTTAAACAACTACAATAAAGCCTCTTGCTGTTTGCATCAAGTTTCTGCCTCCACGTGGTGATTGGGGTGGCCGCGGTCCTGGACTGAGAACCTGGGGGCCTGAGCCTCAGGGGGTCTTACATTTGGGGGCTCGTCCTGGATTTGTGACCACCCCTCACCTGAGTGGAGTCGATCTTGGAGGTGCTTCTTTCTCACTCGGCCCACTTCAGCTTCTGGATTCAATGGTCCCTTGAATATTATTGAAAAAGCAAATCAGAAATTGCCTCCAGCTGCCATTTCTTAGAGAAACGTTCATATGGAGTATTTACACCAGGGCAATGGGCACCTGCTTCAATATAGCACTCTTTCTAGAATTGATTTCTTACCATCACAAACCCTGGCTTTAAAGTGAGCTGATCTGTAAAGAAAGTGGATGGGAGAGGTGAGACCACCTTGCACAAAGTCACATGATGGCATGAAACCAGAGTTGGTTTGGCAGATAGGTCTCCCCCTCTTCTGCTTTCAACTCTCCCTCCAGAACTCTGATATAAACAGCACAGCTTAATCCTGGCCAGTGCTGAGCAGTGTGTTTATTTCAGTTAGGAGAGAGGCCCTCGTTTCCAAAGCCAGAAGAAAAATGAACAGGTGCCCACAAATGCTATGCTGCTTTCCTTGAATTCTCCCAGAGACTTCTAGTAATAAAGACAAGGTCTCACCACATAGGCCAGGCTGGCTCTGAGCTCCTGAATCGTTACCTCAGCCTCTTGAGAGTTGGAACTTTGGGCATGTGCCACCACATCCAGCTTGATGTCTTTCAGTGCCTTAAATTCCATCCGTCTGAGAGCACCTTCCTCGGGTCACAAAAACACCTCGTCCTAAGAGCAAGGGATGCTGGCAAAGGGTATGGAAAAAGGCACATTCCCTGAGACAGGCACTCTTGGCTCTTTCAGGAAAAGAAAAATGTCATTGTGGGGAATGAAGATAATAACACATTCATCAGAGCCCGCCTTCCTTTTATTTTGTGCTTCCCTGAAAGCTATCTGCTCTCCTAAGCCCGAGTCCATCTTCTCTGCACAAGTGATATCTTGATTGACACATCTCCAAATAAGCTTGTGAATAACTTTCCATATTAACCTCAGAATAATTCAGATGTCAAATTACAGCTTGCAGACTCTCTGACTCCTCACGAGCCCCAGAATGAATTTTTTAAATATCTGGGAGAAAATATTAAATTTTGTTCAGATTGGGTCAAAGTTCATATCATTTGGTAATAAAGAGCCACAGAGGGCATTTGCCCAGAGTGGGCTGCGTTGATTTTATTTTGTGCAACAGCTGCAGATCTGGGTGACCCTCGGTGGGCTGTTTGGCCGTTGCTTGTGCTGCAGGCAGCTTTGTTAGTTTTGCAGTTTGCTGTGGGCTTCCTTCAGATGGAAAAGGAAAGATAAGAAAGAAAAAGAAAACGAGATGCAAGTTATGTTGTTCCAGAAGTGTAGGACTCGTGGCTGATGTCATCTCTGAATCTCTAAACATGCAGCTTCAATTGTGGCTCTCTGCAGAAGAAGAGCACTTCCATACTTGTTTTCATTACCATTGCAAGGCAGCACAGTGTGGTGCGTCAGCCTGGATTCCTGTCTTGCAGGCTCTGCAGAAGCATCCTTGCAGGCAAGAAGGCGAAGCAGTGCTTGCTGGAGTGATGACCACTTGGTGGGATGTTTGTTGGATGCTCTGTAATGCGGGGCTGAGAAAACTCATTATTACTGGCTGTTTGTGTAGCTGTAAATATTTAACCAGGAATGCTACCTGCTTTGTGGGAAGGCTTGCTAATTATACCTGCTTCTCTCTATAATTACATATTGTTGTAAAATGCTATGATAATGACACAACTGTGTCTTTCTCATGAGGGGTAAATTTATACCAACTACGGCCACTGAATTTCCATAAGCAATTAGCCTGCACATTTACATCCCCATGTTTTCCTGTGATTTTATTGAAAGCAAAGATAATGAATTAAATCCAATTATAGCCAGAAAGAAAAAAGAAATCAACTGGCTATTGTTTACACCTCTGTTGCCAGTCCTAACCATTTAAAGACAGTCTGTTTCTGTTAAGGTCTTGAATGCTAGTGAGCAGAGGAAAACCTATCTGATCTCTCCTAATTTCATAGCATGTGCTTTGGAATATAGGCCAGAGTTAATGCTTTCCTATGAGACTGCTGCCATCAACAGAGCTCACCACACCACCTGTGCCTCTGTTTGCTAACATTAGTTCCTGGGTGTGATTTTTGGCTTTCATCAAGAAAACTCGGTGATGTAACTGATATCTTGGCTTGGTACCTGAAGATGGTGCTTGGCAGATTCTCTGGGACTTCAGTGCATTTGGAGTAAATATGCTTTGTCCTCTGCTCTGGTGTTTTTTTTTTTTTTCCCCAATCCCTCAAGCAGGTTGATAACATGCCCTAAATGATATAATAAAGTCAATTTTATCATTAAAACTGTAGCTAGAAAAAAAATTGACCTTGCTAAAACAATGTCTGGCTCTGGCCTTGTCTTCTAGAAGGTGGCCTATGTCATACCTCATAAGGATATCTTTAAGGTAAGTCTGCCCACACTCACCAGTCTTAGGATAGCCATGTCAGAAAAACCAACAATGTGGAGGTTTGGGGTCATATGGAGAGGGTCTGGGGACTAAAGACAGGTCAGCCAATTAATCATGCCTATGGAATGAAGCTTCATTAGAAACTCTGGCCAGTGACATTCAGTTGATTCCTCGGTTGTCTATAGCCATGTTTATTGTTGCAGACCCAGGAAAGGACCCACAGGCAGGCTCCATGGGGGAGGGAGTCCTAGAAACTTTACGTCTTGAGTGCCTCTAAACCAGTGGTTCCCAACATGTGGGCCACAACATATCAGATATTTACATTATGATTCATAACAGCAGCAAAATTACAGTTATGAAGGAGCAACAAAATAATGTTATGGTTGTGGGAGTCACCACAATATGAGGAACTGTATTAAAGTGTCGAAGTATTAGGAAGGGTGAGAACCACTGTTCTAAACCCTGCCTCATGGGGCTCTTCTTCTGGCTGATTTTAATGTTTCTTTCCCTCATAAGAAACTGTACCCAGGAGTTTTGTGAGGTCTCCCAGAAATCTGAAGTGATTTGAGGGGCTCCTGGAGTTTGCTATTGGTGTCAGTATTCAGGGCAGACTTGGGGATGAGTAACTTAATTTTCAAAACCAAATTGGTCTCATAGCATCTTGCCTTGTTTCCTCCACCCCTTTTCTCTGCCTTCCTTCCTTTTGAAAAAGTTTATTTGTGGCGGGTTTGAGGTGTGAAAAGTCTCATTTAAAATGTAAATGTTAATGTATTATGAGTTTAATACTGTGAGTGATTTTATGCCAATTATTTGACATGGATAGAATAGATTTCTGGAAAGTTGCAAGCTATCAAAGCTTACCAAGAAGAAAGCAGATAAATAGCTTCATATCACTCCAAAAATTGAACCTGTAGGCAAAAGGAAGAAAAATCCATATTCCAAGGTTATGTGTACCAGATATTTTAAGAGAAAACCATTCTAATTTGACATACCCCGTTAAATAAAACTGAGTAAGAAGAACATTCCTCACGATCACTATGATAAGAACACTGTCCTGATATCTAAAGTAGGCTTTAGAAAAAAGAAAGCATGGCCCACAGGATGGCTTAGTGGGTAGAGGCACATGGTTCCAAGCCGGATGACCAGAGTTCAATATCTGAGACCTGCATGGTGAAAGGAGAGAACTGACTTCTACAAGTTGTCCTCTGACCTCCAAGTGTCCCTGCCCATGCACCTATACTAACTAAATAACTAAGTATAATAATCGCCTAAAGAAGAAAAAAGCTAGAGGCCAGCATTGCAAACAATTTTTAACAAATCTAATAATATGCAAAAGGATAATCCACTTTGGCTGATTTGGGCTTATCCTAAGCATATGAAAGCAGCTTAACATTTGAGAATGGATGAGTGCAATACAAATTAACAGATTAGAAATGAAAACCGTATAATCATCTCAAGCAATTTAGAAAGAGCATTTGTCTATATCCAAAATGTATTCCTTTTTAATATTATTATTATTAACCTTGGAGAGTTTCATACCATGTATTTTGATATTTCACACACACCCCAACTCATTCCAGATTAACCTTCACCTCCTTATCCACTCACTTTCATGTTCCTGCTTTATTTTTTTAAACCTGTTGAGTCTGATTTGTGTTGCCCAACCACTCTTGGATGTGGGGCCTGCCCTGTATGTGGTGGGCTTACCAAGAGTCACACCATTAAAGAAAAATGACTCTCCCTCTCCCAGCAGCTAGAGGTGAGATTTCATGCCCACCTCTAGTCCTCATGCTGTGGTTTGGTTTTGTTTGAGATTGCAAAGGTCTTATGCATGCTGTCATCAATTGCTGGGAGTCCATTTGTGCAATTTTCCTGTTGTATCTGGAAAAGACTGTCTGTGTTCTTGACATCATCCACACCGCTGCCTCTTACAATGTTTCTGCTCTTCCACAATGATCCCTGAGCCTAGGGGAAATCGATGTCATACAGATGTTCTATTCAGGCCTGAGCATTTCACAGTCTCTTATGTTCAGCTTGTTGGCTAGTTGTGGGTCTCTGTGTTTTGTCACCATTGCTAAGAAGAAGCTTATTTGGTGACAGTTGAGAGATATACTGATCTCTGGACATAGCAGTATGCCATAGGACTCATGCTGGCTACCTCAATGTGAACTTGACACATGCTAGAGTCATCAGAGAAGAGGGAGTCTTAGTTGAGAAAATGCCTCCATTAGATTCCATTGTAGGCAAGCCTGTAGAGCATTTTCTTCGTTAGTGATTGATGTGGGAGGGCCCAGACTGTCTTGGGTGGGACCACCATTGGGCTGGTTGGCCTGAGTTTTATAAGGAAGCAGGTTGAGCAAGCCATGGGAAGTAAGCCAGTAAGCAGCTCCCCTCCATGGCCTCTGCATCAGCTCCTGCCTCCAGGTTCCTGCCCTGCTTCAGTTCCTGCCCTTACTGCCTTTGATGATGAAATATAACTGAAATAAACCTTTTTTTCCCCAAGATGCTTTTGGTCATGGTATCTCATTACCACAGTAGTAACCTAGCTGCCTTGGTTAGGTTTCTGTTGCTGTGAAGAGACACCATGACCATGGCAACTTTTGTAAAGGAAACATTTAAATGAGGGTGGCTCGCTTATAGTTTCAGAGGTTCTGTCCATTATGATCACAAAGTGGAGCATGGCGGCATGCAGGGAGATGTGGTGCTGGAGCTGAGAGGCCCACATCTTGACTCAAGGGCAACAGGAGGTCGGCTGACTGTCACACCAAGTGAAGCTTGAGAAAAAGACCTCAAAACACACTGACACAGTGATGCACTTCCTCCAACAAGGCCACACCCACTCCAACAAAAACACACCTCCTAATAGCACCACTCCCTAGATTATAACATTCAAACTACCACACTAAGACAGGAGTTGTTTCAATCTGTATCTACTTAGCAGAATAATAGTAGTAAGTTCTCCCCTAGGACCTATCTAGCCACAAGTTCTTGACCCCAATAACAGGGCTAGGTAAGGGTTCTACCAGTGCAACAGACCTTAGGTGCAATCAGAAAGTGGCTGGTTACTCAGATAATATCCATGCTACTATTGCACCAGGAAGCATATCTTGCCAGGCCAGTCAGTATTATAACTCAGCGAGTTCATAGCTGGATGAGAGTGCCGGTTACTTTTCTCATCCACCAGCATGCACAGCGCTTTCCAGTACCACGGAAATTATCTAGAATGGATGAAGCAGTTGATTTCCCCATGGTGGTGTCTTCCGTGATACATTCTGTCTCAGGTTTCCATCATGTGATAAAATACCATGACCAAGAAAAAAGGAAAGGGTTCATCTCATCTTACTCATCCAGGTCACGGCCCATCACTGAGACTGGGGAAGGTTAGCTTGGGAACTCAAGCAAGGCAGGAACCTGGAGGCAGGAACTGAAGCAGAAGCCACAGGCTTGCTCCCCATAGTTTGCTCAGCGTTTCCTTATACTATCCAGGACCACCTACCAAGGGGGTGGCAGCACCAACAGTCAGCGGGGTCTTCCCACATCAATTATTAATCATGAAAATGCTCTAGGTGGTGGCACATGCCTTTAGCCCCAACACTCAGGAGACAGAGGGAGGTGGCTCTCTGTGAGTTCGAGTCCAGTCTGGTCTACAGAGAAAGTTCTAGCAACAGACAACACAAAAACCCTGTCTCAAAAACCAAAGAAAAGAAAATGCCTCACAGACTTGCCCACAAGTCCACCTTAGAGAAGCATTTTTTTCAATTGCAATTCCCTCCTCTCCAATAACTCTAGCTTGTTCCAAGTTGACAAAAAAAAAAAAAAAAAAAAAAAAAAAAAAAAAAAAAAACTAGCCAACACAGGGTCTTAGTTCTGGAGTGTAACCAAGGGCAATTGCAATAGCCCATAATGTTTGGGGGTCAGTGGCACCCCACTGATCAACAACTCAAAAAGAGTAGCACATTCCTGGCACTGGGCTTTTACTTTCTAACAAAGGGTGTCTAGCTGGGGCATTAACGCTAAAGGCCTTTGGAGGAAGCCATATAGAAATCTGCTATTGTAGAATCGTTCTACAATACATACATGTATTCAAAGGGGAGGGGGAACAAGCCTACGTGGTATCATATCTCACATGCTGTACTAAAAAGTTAGTTGTCAAAACTTACACTTAAGAATCTAAATCTAAATCTCTGGGTTTGGTTAAATAACCCACACCCTCAGGCCAACTTGGAGAAATCCATCATTGCCTCCTAGGAGGCCTGGTACCTACAGACAGCCTGGGTTTGTTGTTGTTGTTGTTTTTTGTTTGGGGTGTGTGTGTGTGTGTGTGTGTGTGTGTGTGTGTGCAGAAAACTGAAATGCATCATGGGTAACAGATGGACCTACTCTTTGAAGAGCACCTGTATTTTGACTGGTAGGGAACAGCCATTTTTGAAGAACACAAAGTCTCTTCCTAAAAGCTAGAGAGAAGGCTTCACTCCCCCCTGACTTCCCCCACAGCAGTCTTCCTTCATGAGATAAAGACCCAGCTGTGTGCATGCTATTATTCTAACACAAACCACAATCTTGCTGCGGGACCCACTAGCCTTTATGGAGATTCTGTTAAACTCTATCAGTAACATGTGAATGCTCTTGGCCCACTCTTGTTTTCCATATTCCTAGTATGCAGTGTCAACCAAGAAAAGCACAATTCAAAAGTTTGAAAAACTCATAGCCTTGAAAGAAAGTCAACTCAGGAAGGCCGAGAAAAAGCTCCAAGATGATGCACTAGCCTTTGAAGAGTTCCTTCGGGAAAACGACCAGAGATCTGTTGATGCTCTGAAAATGTTAGTGTCTCCATTCTAGTTACACAACCCCCTCCCAAGTGTTTACTTGTTTGTTTCAGTTTCTTAGAAAAATAAATAACTAATAAATCGGTGTTCCTTTTCAGGGCAGCACAAGAAACATTAAACAAACTCCAAATGACAACAGAGCTCAAGAAAGCAAGCATGGAAGTGCAAGCAGTAAAGAGGTGAGGGTGCTGCTGAGCCAATTCCCACATCCCATCATGACCCCTTAGGTCCAGCAGAGGTCACGTGGGGATAGCCTTACCAGCTAGTCTCTTAGTATGAAGATTTGCGGCTGTCTAGATTTCAGAACAGAAACCTCTCTCTGAATGGCTCTCTGACTTGGTGATACAGAAGCAAAGAAGTTCATTGAAAGAGGCAAAACGGTAAATACATGTTTTCTATGTGCCTCCTTTTTGTTCATTGTGAGAAACCATTCACCCACATTCAAGCATCTTAACTGGGATGCATTTGACCATCACCCTAAATTCATCATTGGCAGTTTTTGTATTCAAACTCCTTAGCAGAATCTCATGCCACTGTTAAATTTAAGATTTATACTGAAACAATTCACAGGATCAGGGAAGGGGGTGATATTATTACATTGTCAGTTACCCCTTCTCAAATCTTCTGTGTTCAAGGAATCCCAGTTGAATGATTTTCACTATCTAAAAGGATCTTGTGGCTACTGTGGGACACTAATGTCATAATCCAAAATATGTCTCTCAAACAGATTCTGGCTGTAGTAGCCTCTTCTATTTAAAAGTCTAAGGTTGAAGGTGCTTCAAAATAGGGGACTCCATCCCTACTTCCCCTGGTAATGAAATTTTTGGTTATGTCCCCAGCATTTTTTTTCTTACTTTTAATTTCTAGATTGTGCCTTGCTATATTGCCCAGGCTGGGCTTGAACTCACTCAGTAGTTCCAGAAAACCTTAAACATCTTGCTTCAGCTTCCCAACTACCTAGGATTATGGGGTGCACTGCCAGGACAATTTAGGTGATACTACCCATTTAATTATATATACATAGGTATTTGTCTGTTATCCTATTCATCTGGAAGCAGAGCAGGGCCCATGGTGCTGGTATTAATTCCTATGCTCTGCATAGTACTCACTTGGTTACACTTCTAAACAGCCTTGCCAGAGACCTTACTCACTGCTTATGTGTCTCACCATTCTAGAAGGGCGAATGACATAATGGAGCAGATACATGTGTAGAACTGATAAATGAGAATTCCTTCCTTTTGTGGTAAGATGGCTTGAGAATGGAAAGTATTTGAAACTGAAGAAATGACTTTCTCTGGAAACCTTTCCATCACAGGCATGCAATCCTAGTCAACTTTTATCCCATGATCTTTGTGACACTCTGGGAGGTAGAATCAGGGGCTTCCACCAGTTCCCAATTACTGAACATGAAGAAGTGTGTACTGACCCTGTGCAGAAGGAAGGCACTAATGGATAAAGGGTGGAGGGTGAGCATTTGAGATGATACAGTGGTGAGAAGGACACTAATGAGGACCCAAATGAGGAAGACTGGCTTGGGCCTTGCTGTCCCATCTTCAGCTTTGCTTATGGGTCTGTTTGAAACATGGCTGGGATAAACCAGTACAAAGCTGGAGAAAGCACACAGCTCAAGTATATAGGTATTGTTGGTGAGAACATAGGTATTCATCAGGCCACTACTAGAGGGAAGCAAGTAGCCCATTTCTTTTTCCCTAAGAGGGAAATAAGAACATCTTTATTTAAAGATTTTTTAAAATTTATTTTTATTTTATGTGCATTGGTGTTTGCAAAGGGTGTTGGATCCCCTAAAACTGGAGTTACAGAGAGTTGTGAGCTGCCATGTGGATGATGGGAATTGAACCCTAGTCCTCTGGAAGAGCAGTCAGTGCTCTGAACCACTGCAGCATCTCTCCAGCCCCTAACCATTTTTTAATTGTGTGTTGTGGTAGTTTGAATGTATTTGGCCCCCATAATCACAGAGGGAGTGGCACTATTTGGAGGTGTGGCTTTGTTGGAGTGGGTTTGGCCTTGTTAGAGGAAGTGTGTCACTGTGGGGGTGGGCTTTGAGGCTTCTCGTGTTCAAGATACCATCCAGTGTATTAGTTGGTTTCCTGTTGACTGCAAGACGTGGCAGCTCCTTCTCCAACACCATGTCTGCCTGCATACATCCATTCACCTTGCTGTGATGATAATGGATGGAATCCCTGAAACTGTGAGCGAGCTCCCTTAATTAAATGTTTTCTTTATAAGGCTTGTCATGGTCATGGTGTCTCTTCACAGCAATAAAAACCCAAGTAAAGACATGTGTTTGTGGATATGTGCACTAGTGCAAGTGCCTGCTGGGATGTAGACGTTGGAGCTCTGTGCTGGTTGTGAGCCACCCAACATAGGCACTAGGAACTAAACTAGTGTACAAGAGCAGTATGCATCCTTAATCTCTGCTCCATGTCTTTGGATCTAAGGATACTGTACTGGCTAGTTTCTGTGTCAACATGACACAAGCCAGCATCATTAGAAAGAAAGGAACCTCAGTTGAGGAAATGCCTCCATAACATCCAACTGTAAGGCATTTTCTCAACTCGTGATTAAAGGGGGAGGGCCCAGCCCATGGTGGGTGGTACCATTCCTGGGCTGCTGGTTCTGTGTTCTATAAGAAGGTGGGCTGAGTAAGGCAAGGGAAGCAAGCGGGGAAGCAAGCCCATAAGTAAGCAGCTCCCCTCCATGGCCTCTGTATCAGCTCCTGCCTCCAGGTACCAACCCTGCTTGAGTTCCTGTTCCAACTTCCTCCAATGATGCACTGTGATCTGGAAGTGTAAGCCAAATAAGCCCTTTCCTCTCCAACTTGCTTTTTGGTCATGATGTTTTATCATCGCAGTAGAAAGTCTCACTAAGACAAGTTGGTACCAGTGTAGTAGGTATTGCTGTGACAGTCTGACAATGTTTTTTGGAGGATTGTGGAAGGACTTTGGAAATTTGGACTAGGAAAGCCATTGAGTGTTGAAAGCTCAGTGGGATGTTGGGTAGGAACCTGGAAGACAAGAATGTTGAGAGCAGTGCAGAAGATGGGGGCTGGCTTGTGAAGTTTCAGAGGGAAGTTTAAAGACTCTATCAGGGCCATTTGCTATTTTGAATTAAGATTCTGTGGTTTTTGTTAGCTGGAGCGGAAGAATCAGCTGTGATTAACAAGATACAGAACTACCTTTACATTACTGGGACAATTGATGCTGGTCAGCTGGAGCTAAGAAATTAGTGGTGATTAAGAAGAGACCCTCAATGTTGAAGTGAAGTCTTCTGAGAAGTGTTTCCCGAGAGCACAGAGCAGCTATGTTCCCTAGATGGCTATGTTTGTACCTCATGTTGGCAGCCTGACTTAGCGATGTGTGCGATTAACTTAGGTGGTACTGATTTTGAAGTCATGAAGGGGTCATGGAGAGCAGCTGGGGCTTGGCACTGAGAGGCCAGGAGAGGCCCCTGGTGAAGGTGCAGCCTCAGTGGCAGTTGAAGGCACTGGGGTCATGCAAACAAGTTGAGGCTTGGCACCATGGAGAGACCCTATGAGAGGTTAGTGGTGAAAATACAGCCCATTTGCAGCAAAGGGCCCTGGCATTTTGGAGATGGCAGTACCATGGGACTACCACTTGAAAGACCCCTGCCCCTTAGCCCTTTCTTTCTCAAGTTTGTCTCCTCTTCCTCCTGTCGGCGGCTTCCCCGATCCCCACCCCCGGCGGCCTTCCCCCGCCACCCG